ACCACATCAGGGAGGACTAGAAACTAGGAATAATTATACTAAGACAAAACAAAGTAGGCACATTAGTGAAACCTCTGGAGTATGTATCTGTGGAACTGAACATAGACTGAAGACATCCACTAGTGATTGGATTAGGGCTGGGGGAGATGAAACCCAGGGACAAATCTCCAACTGGCCATGAACTCCAACTTAATCCAGTCACTCACACCCAGGCTAACTTACCTCACAGGGTTGTCATGAGGGTAAAATGGAAGAAAGCCATATACATCATCCTGAGCTCCTTGGAAGAACGGCAGATCAATACTCACTAAATAAATACACAAGACTCACTATGATTTTTGCAAATTGCCAGTCCAGTGCAGACACAGGTTGTAAGTGATCTTATAAATATTATATTACCTCTGTCTTTTCTATCCTGCCCTTCCTTGAAGGAACTTAGGGTGGTGCACACAGAGGGTTACTTCATTTTCACAACAATCCTGCTAGGCAGGCTTACGCTGAGAGCACGTGACTGGCTCAAAGTGAGCTTTGGGGTGAGTAGGGATTTCAACTCCACCTTCTTTGCTCCACATCCAGCACTCTAACCATGCAGCTTGAAGAGAAGAACCCCTGTCCTCAGTCTGACCTCGGAAGCTGGAGAGAAGGATAACAGGGAAAGGCTACAGGAAGATATACATGTCGCCTAGCCTGGAGACCTCCTCCGCTTGAGCTCTTTATCAATCCTCCTTTTCTACAGTTTTGGTGGACTTGGAAGTCTTGCAGGTGCTGCAGACCAAATTAGCTTGCATGGGATCAGGCTGTGTGGATGTACAGTGCTCTGCATTAGACAGAACTGCAGCTAATTCTCCAAAACCATCCTGCCAATTACACACAAGGGCACTCAGAGTTTAAGTTTGCTGTTTAAATACGGCCACAACCTGGAGACTCTAGCTTTTTATTCGCACACGCTCTGGCAGCTGCATCTCTCCAATAAATGTTTTGTACCCCCAGGATGTAACCGAAAAGGGATGCGAGGTGGAAGCGGAAGAATTCTCCATTCGATGCGACTGCCAGAGGAGTCTGAGCCTCGGTACCTCGTCTTTTGTTAAGGTCTAAAGCGGCACCACTGCACTCGTCGAGGCACACATACGTGGCACCGGACCGGGCTGTAAAGCTGCGGTCTTCTACTTGGTTACTCGGACACGAGCACTTCCGATTTTACACGCCAGGGGAGCGAAGCAGTCCTCCCAGGCAGGAAGACTCGCCACCTTCCGCCCAGCCCTTCTACACCTTCCGCCCGGCCCTCGGAGACTGGGGGAAGAGAGGGCCTTTTCCCGGGGCCAGGAGGAGGACTTTTGCGCGTAGGCGACGCGCCCACGTTCGGTTCCTTTCGCCCCTGGTTCGGGTTTTTTGCCGGGCACTTGCGAGAGTGGGAGG